GTGGCTGCTGTCACCAGGCTGAGACATGGGGCTGGCGGGAGGTTCTGCACCAGCCTGGGTAAATGGTGAGGACAGAGGTGGGCTGGCAGCAGAACCAGGGAGCAGCAGGCATAACACAACCTGGGGACAGGTCTGCACCATCAGACTCCACAGGAGGCACTTGGGCTCTTTGAGCCCAGCTCCTCAGCACCACACAGGGACAGCCACATGCCTGGGGAGCTGAGGGGCTCTGCTGGGCTGAGACAGGAGCTGTATCTGCTGGACTCAGATGAATATCTGGAGCTGTGGTTTGCCCCCAGATAATGAGAGTGGGACTTGAAGAGCAGCTGATGTGTGAACTCCATAGGTGAGCAGTGAACAAGAGAAATGGGCTGTAACAGGGAAGGCAGAAGATCTCCAGGTCCCAAGAAACAGAAAATCTCTAGAGAAGATCAGAAAGGTCAAGGACCACAGGGAAGAGAGAGAAAGTGGAGGAGTGGATGCTGAACTGGCTCTCTGACCTGGCCTCCCCAGGCAGTGCTTTCTATCCAAGCTCCTCTGGCTCCAGCTGCATGATCAGTACCAGGGCAGGGAGAGGACAGGGGCAAGCACACATGTTCTGCTTCCAGGCTGTTCCCAGTTAGCTACAGGCTGGATGACTTTACCCAAGCCCCAAGGACTTCTCCTCCACCCCGCGCCTTCAGACTCCAACTGCACCTCAGCTCTCAGCTGTGCAGCCCCCGAAGCTGCCCACACCCTCATTTTGACCTCTCTCTGCCTGCGAGCGTCGGCCCCAGCACGGCTGGGGAGGAAGGGAGGAGCAGGGCCCAGGGGGAGAAAGCCCCTGACAACATCAGGCAGCCCCGACTCTCCCCGCAGAATGGGCAGCGACCATCCCGGGGGGGCTCTGCTGCAGCTGGGCTGGTGGCCGGGGCCGGGATGTGCCGCTCGCTGCCCTCCCTGAACATGTGCTGTTCCTGTTTGCTGTGTCTGTACAAGGCAGTGGGAAGTGGGGAATTTACTTACACCTCCCGCTTAACAACCCCGGGAGGCTGGAAGGCTTCAGGCCGCTTTAATTTACAGCCCATCTCTCCAATCTCTCCCTCGCTCGCCGCCGCTTTTCTTCCTCCCTTGTGTTTGAAGGAGGAACCCGGGAACCTGCCAGCGATCAGGGACCCGCTTGCGGGGGCGGCCGCTCCCTCCCGGCACGACTTTCTACCTTCGCCTGGATAGGGATTGCTGAGAATTCAAATGAAAAGGGGGAAAAGAGAAAAGAAAAAAGGCAAAAATCTGCAAGGTTGGGGTGGGTTTGGAAGAGTGAAGCTCAGTGGTTCTGGGCCCGGCGCCAGCAGCCCGAGGGTACACATGTGCACGCTCTCCCAGTAGGGCCTTCAGCAGCCCTGTTTTACAACCACCTCGGCACACACTGCAGAGTTCACGCATATGGCCAGACAGATGTGTCTGGCTTACGTTCAAGGCTGGAAAATGAAGAATTATGGAAGTGAAGGGCCCTGGGCATTAGAGAGGGCGGAGGTGAGGGGGAGGGGAGCCAGGGAGAATTTTTCCTCTGCTGAGAAATCCTCATCTGGGCTGAGAGGCTGGAGGAAGAGGGGTTGCGAGCGGCGAGGCAGCCAAGAGCCATGCAAGTGAGATTGCTCTTAAAGCAACAGCATGCAGCGCCAGGCCTCTGCTCCCAGTCCAACCAGTTTACTTCACCACCTCCCACTGGGGAACATGCTCAGACCAGGCCAGGGCCAGGACAGGATCACCTGTATCCCATCTGTTTGTCCCCATAGCTATGGCAACGCTTTCCAAGCGGTGCTCTGGCTGCAGCAGCCCTTCAGACTGTTTTTCCTACCACTGGCTCCCACATGAACTTCGCTGTTCATGTCCCACCCTCTCCCTTGTCTGCCTGTGCCCTGCTGCACACAAAAGCTGATTTCCCACCAAGCCTTCCTGCCACGAAGCCTCTGCCACGGGTAGGGGGACAGTCCACTGCCTGGTGTCCACTGCCTTACAGCCACCATGTGCACTGGCAGCACCATGGAGAAACTATGTCTGGCTTCACGAGGGGCTCAAGAATCCTCCAAACATTCATCTCAGGGGCTGGAAGGGCAGGTCTTACCCTGGGTGGGGCAGAGTAGCACAGATTTGGCCCTTCCACCAGAGGCAAAGCTAAACTTGCTGCTGGGTTTCACAGAGGTGTCACAGGGCACCTACAGTGGGGAAGCTGAAGGTGCTACAGGACATCCCAAGAGGCCTGAAGTGTGGCAGGGAAATGGCTGCACACTGTCAGCACAGCGAGGCAGGATCAGCCCTTGTACAAAAGCAAAGCAGCTCCTCAGCCAGCCCGGGTGCTGCAGCTGCACAGTCTGTGTTACCTGAATCTTGTCTTGACGACGCTGCTGCTCAGCCACTTTCCTGGCCAGGGCTTGCTTCCTGGCTCTGAGCTCCTTGATGTCCATCTCTCCTCCGCTGACTTCAGCCTCAGAATCATCTTCAAATGCCTCAATCCTCACATCGTCTTCCTTCTTCCAGGGAATGCAGAAAGACAAAAGAACAGGACATAAGTCATTGTAAGGGATGCTGGTGGCAGGGACTGTGCTCGTTCTGATCTCCCCCTTGCAGCAGCCAAATCCCTGCCAGGCACAGACCATCACCTCTTGCTGATGGGCAACTACTTCCACACATCTGAAAGCAGCAAGCAAAATAAATGAATAGTAAAGATCCAGGAAATGACAAGGTGAGTCAGGAGGTAACAGGGCAGGGAAAGCGGCAACCAGGGAAGGCAGGGGGAGCCCTGCTTAAAGCTCCGTTTTAAAAGCAAATCCTCTTCCTCACCTTGGAAAACTCTTCCTACAGCCTTGGGTGAGTCACTGATTTTTTTAGGCTTCAGTTCTGTAAACTCACACTATTTCCCTCTGCTCTCTCTGCTTTGCCTGTCTATTTAGGTTGTGCATCCCTTGGAGCAAATCCTGCTTCTCCCCACCTGCCTGCACTGGGGCCGTCCAACGCTGCTGCCCCACCCGAGGCCAGAACACGAGCTGGTCATCCTGGCAGGAAACTCAGATCCATGAACCCAGGAAACCAAAGAGCCTGTTTCCCTGCTCCATTTTGATCTCTGAATAGGCCAGAGAGATTCCTGCAGCCACCAGCTTCACGCTCTCCGAGAGACCCTTCCCTGGCTCTACCCACAAGGAGGTCTGCAGACCCTTCCCAGTGTGCTGCCCTGCCTGAAGTGGAGACCTCAGAATAACCCCTGCTGTTCCTACCCCAGATGAAGGCCATTACCCATCTCTCCCTTCCTGCACAAAATGCAAAGGATGTGATGGGGCTGGGAGGAGTTCCCAAGTGGAACCCAGACAGAAAGACTTGCTGAGCCCTCAGAGGGTTGGAAGGGATGGATCCTGCATGAGAGGATCCCCCAGAAGTGTAAGACCATTGCTCCCCCCCTGCCCTGTGCAGGCTGCCATGGCCTGTGCCAGCAGGAGGGACAGGCAGGAGTTCACAGTCTTAATTTACAACAAGCCCAGCACTGCACAGTCCCATTCTCAATCATTTCACCCAGGCCACACACCCCCCTGCTCACAGAACCACATACTCTTCTCTCCTTCTGACTTTCTAGCCATGGAAAGGAGGAAGACAGAGCCCTCAGGCTCACTTCCCTCTGCTGGGACAGCCTGGACCTCAGGGGATGGGGTGATGCTGCCAGAGGCACAGCGTGGCACGAGGGCCTTGGGGAACAGCCTGTGTCAGATGCAGATCTGCTGCAGTGGGTTGGGACCCGCCTGCCCAGGCTGAGGGAGGTTATGCTGGTGAGCTGGAAGCTCCTTCACCACCAGAACCCCAAGGAGGAAGCTCCAGGGTTGTGCAACGAGCTCATGCAGAGGTTCCCAGAGAGAGCAGAGACTGGGGGACGGGGCAGGGGGGAAAGTTCTCTTCCATTCTGTGTTTGTTCATAGCAGAAATTTGGACTGATCCAACAAAAGGAGTGCTCTGGAAAAAAGGACCATCCCTGTAGACACTGGGTAGAATCTGAAGATCCCCCCATATCACATGTAAGTTTGAAAACCTCTTGCACCTTCTCCAGAAGAGGTCAAGAGTCCAGGTCTCCCACCTTACAGAGACATCTCTTGCTGCCTGGGATTCTGCTCTGAGCCCCAGTACAAAAAAAAGTGACCTAAGATCTGTTCCCTGACCAGCTGGAGCCAGTGTTGGGACAAGGGGGGTGCAGAGCACATTCTTGCTCTGGGCTTCTCCCTGGGGCACACGGAGTGAGCCTGGGCAGTGCTGGGCCACCCAGCTCCCTGCTCCCAGTGCCTCTGCCCCTCTCTCCTGTTTCCCTGGCCTTTCCAACTGCAAGATTAAACAGAAGAAAGGAGTCAACCTGCAGAGCGGCTGGCAGGGCCCTTAAACACACACACGGAGCCTGGAGTGAAGCAAGGCCTACAGGAACAAGCAAGGGCAGAAAAACAAGAGCTGAATTCCTTAATCACATCAGGATGTGAGAGGCAGGGGAGGGACGGGGCGCCAATGTCAGCTCTTCCTGTACGTGTGCTGGAGGCTGGAGCTCAGGCCTCCGCTGCAACCAGCTCCCTGGCTATAAACTTGATCCTGAAGCTGAACCCTGACACCCCCCTCGCCCACCTCCTCTCCCGGGGCTGCAGCACTGCATGTTATTAAAGCTTCTCCCCCCTCAGCTCCCCACCCCCTCCACTTCGGGCATAAAAAAAGCAGCATCTGGAACTCATAGCAGCGCGAGATAGAGGCAGGAGGGCTGGACTGGCAGGAAAGGGCACGAGTGAAGTACACTCGGGAGACAAGGGCTGTGCACCATTTGCCCCCCCTGCCTCCCCCCATAAAATGCACACGCAGCTACACTGGCTATAAATAGCGGGAGCTGCAGGGCAGGCAGGGGCTGGGCCCCACAGGGGTGATTCTTCCTTCACTGAGGCGCGCTCTTCCCGCACGGTACCTGATCTTCCAGTTGTTTTCCCTCTTGGCTTCCCATTTCCTTTCCCATGGCGTCTGGGACGGGTGCCACTGACACATATTTTCCACCCTTGAATGCCAGCAAAGGCTCTTCTTGTCCACAAAGGGCTTCCAGGAAATACTTCAGAACTGTGACCCTCTTGCAGTCGGCTGCAATAACCTAAAGGGTGAGGACGAGGGGGTTGGGGAGAGGGAAAGGAAAGCAAAGTCAGTGCAAAGGGGAGGCAGATGGACAACAGCCAGGGGGCATATCTGGGGCTAGAAGGCCCAGTGGGATGCAGACAGCACTGCAAAAGCACCACAGGGACATGCAGGGCGCCCCTCTTCTTCTCAATAGGGATGGAAGGGGTTTGCCCATGCCTTGTAACCCACTGTCCCCAGGGGAAAGGAAGAAGGCTCAGTCAGGACACCCAGCACTGATCCCTGTCCTGCTGCCTCGGTGTTTCCCAGGGCTGCAGGGCTGCTGGGGGGCAGGCAGTCCC